CCGATCTGGATGGATCAAACTACCAGAAAGGGACATCAACTAGGGTTTGCTAAGGTTTGTGTGAATCTGGCAGCTGAATGTGGCTTTCCATCAAAAATTCGATTATACCAGATGATGATCCTTCGTTTGAGATTGAAGTGAAGTATCTTAACAAGCCTCTGGTCTGTCCTAATTGTGAGGTATATGGCCATGATTGCACTAAAATTGCTAGTAGTGGTAAGAGGTTGGTTCCACAAATTCGGTGATATGATGATAAGACTTGTCAGGGTGAGGTAGAACAAATTGAGGTGCAACAGAAAGCAAGTAAGGGTAGAGAGATTTTGGTAAATGCAGAAGCGGTGGTGGAGTTTGGTTCCTCAGAGACATCTGCTGATGAAGGACAAACTTCTAGACCCGTGGTTACTTCTGATGTGTGTCTCCCTCTTAATGGATTTCAGGTAGTGAGTTTTGTCGAGGTGGTAAAGGGGTCGTCATGCAAACTGGAAGCCCTAAGACACTTCCACAAGTTGCTTTTGGGGTTTGTTCACCAGATTCTAGGAGGCAGACTCACTTGGAAGCTCCTCCTGATGAATTGCAGAAGAATCCATGGATCACAGTGAGTAGTCAAGCTAAAAATAAGAAGACTCCATGACTCGCTATGACACAACTCCTAACAATGGCCAAGTGTAACCAATGGAAGGGACTGCAGTATAGTGGTTCAAGTAATAAATATCGAATCCACGGGTCTCTAGAGTTACTATTACTCAGCTTCAGTTCATTATCTAGCAAACCAGATTAAGATGGAAGAACTAAAACTACTCTAACAAACTACAGTTAAAGTTAATCTAATTACAGGTTGGGAACTCACTTAGGTATGATTCCCCCTAGCCACTAGTCAGATTAATGATTGATGATTTCTAACTTGTTTCTCTTTTATTCACAATGCGGAGAATCCTTGACTAAACCTTGAATCTCGACTAAAGGATCAAGGCCCTCTTGAGTCAATTGCCTAGAGGGACGTATCCTTCTCTAGAACAACCGATCAAGGCGTTCTGAACTAGATTCACTCTATCGAATGAGGTTCTCAATCGATACAAAGCATTGAATCAATCCTCAACTAAAGCAATCGATCTAATACTATAAATCTATGGTGCTCTATTGACCTAATCAGGTATTCGCTCTCATAGGATCAAAGCAGAATCAATAATCTCGACCAAAGCAGAATTGAATCATGAAAACATGCATAGATTGAATATGAACTCAAGATTATCAAGTAGGAGTACTCATACAATCATCCAATCAAACAAACATAGCTAGGGTTCCTCAAAACCTAACTGAAGGGAAGTTACTCCATAGAGAAGAGAGAGACTGCAGTAAGAATCTTCAGATGATCAGTCTTCAAGTCCGGGCTTGTTCCTCGAGCTTCCAAGGTGAAGAAATCCTCCAATTCCACTCCAAGAATGCCCTCAAATTGCCCTCTCTCTCTTTGGTTCGTCCCTTGGGTGTTTGGGATCCAAAACCCAGCTCTCCCTTTAAAAACGCACAAAACAGGCTTTTAACAGCCTGCGTTCGCGATCCCCGGTCAGAATACCCGGTCGGATATTTTAGGTGGAGACCGGGGATTGTTGAAACCCACCGTCAAGGACAGGGGGTTAATCCCCGGTCAAGGTCAAGAATACTCGACCGAGGATTTATGCTTAATGCCCGGGCCCCCTTCTGCTTCTCAAACGACCAAAAGAGGTTTTCCCCGGTCTGCTCAGATTAATACCCGGCCAGTTATTTTTGCCCATGGCCGGGTATTTTGCTCCTCCAGCACACTTCAACTCAAACGTGCTCCTTTCGGACCGAAACTCGTTTCTTCGCCTCGATGCCAACGCCAAGCCCTGAAATATGACATAAACACACAACCTAGCGTGAAATCGGCTTAAAACACGAGAATCAACATCTCAAACGGCTCAAGAATAGGGGTAAAAACATGTGCAATTATTGGTCTATCACTCCAATTGTTGTTACTGCTCCAAAGCGAGGGGCAGGGGAGGTAAGTGTAAATGGAATTTTTGTTGTGGAATACCCGAGTTTTGAAAGACCTGGATAAGAATAAAGTTGTACAACTATTAGTTAATAAACACAGTACAGATATCATAGCATTGTTAGAACTAAGAGTAAAAGTTTATAAGGCTAAAAAGTTAATGGAGGAAAGGGTCCCGGGATGGGAGAAGAGGTGGTTGGCAATTCTTCTTGTTTAAGTAAGATTAACTTAGTGTGGCGATATGATGTGAAGATTAGGGTCTTCCATAGCTGTGAAAAATTTATTCATGCCATAGTCTGCTTTGGAATTTCTTTCTTTCTTACAGTGGTTTATGCTTCTAATGAGGAGATTGATAGACGAGTACTATATAGTAACCTGGTGAATTTGCAAGTTCAATCTGAGTCGTGGGTCATATTGGGGGATTTTAATGCTATAGGTGATGTTAGTGAAGCCTCAAATTCACCAACAATCAGTTCAAGTATGCAAGAGTTTAGGAAGTGGCAGTTTGATACAAAGATTGTTGAGCACAAAGCATCAGGTCCATGGTTCACGTGGATCAACAAGCAATCTGGCAATCCAATTGCAAGGAGATTAGATAGAGCCTTTGTCAATTGCCAATGGCTTGAAGTGTTTTGCTCGAGCACAGTGGATATCCTAAATCCTGCAATTTATGATAATTGTCCAGTGTTTGTTAATACTGATAGTTCTATCAACTCGTTGCGTAAAACATTCAAGTTTTTAAGTTCTCGATAAAGCATGAGCAATACTAGGATCTTGTTAAGGAGGCTTGGAATTCTTAAGTAGCAGGATCTCCAAAGGTGAGAGTTAGTAAGAAACTCAAGATTCTGAAGAAGCTACTCGGACAGTTAAATAAAGATGACTATTCTAGGGAAAATCCCAGAATACACTAGTTATTAAAAAAAATTCCCAAAATACAGTACTTATGAAATTATATCCCAAAATACAGCAGTTTGGGCATCACCGGTGTAGACTAAGACAGTGAACATCATCACCGTTGCAAACAAAAACGGTGAACCCTTCACTATTGTCGTCCAAAAAGAGATATTTTACCGCGTTTTACAACCCTGGTAGGTTGGAAGTTAGGTAACAGCGACCTAGCATTCACCGTTTTGGTCAAAAGCGGTGATGGTTCACCGCTATTGTCAAGCGCGGTTATTAGGCCCCAAAAATTCCTATAAAAACCCAGCCCTCAGATTTCTCCATCTGCCTTACAGCAATTCAGTACGAAATTAGTGCCTTTTTGGTCCTTTTCTCAGTTGGCTTACAACAACAAGAAACTCACCGGGATTCGGTATGTTATAATTATGTATTGTTTACATGTTGATGTATTAGTAATTATATGTCTCTATCTAATGAATTTCGGTTATTGGCAAATATGTTATTTTAGAGATATTTAGATGAATTATGGTATGATTGATGTTAGTTAGTTATGAATTTAGATGAATTTGGATAGTTTTCTCATGATAGATGAGTTAGTTGCGGTTGTTAATGGGTTTGGATGATATTATTTTTGTATCCCTAATGTACTAATTATACTATAGTAATCTTATTCGAGTTAAGCTAATAGTTACTTATGGTAATTTGCAGACATGGGTAAGTGAGATCAGTCAGTGAGGAAGAAGATACGGACGATATCAAGGATAGCGAGGTGGCGTTTCGTGAGGCACCAACGCCTTACTACACAGAGGTTCCATCTCAATTTTTATATAATCAGAACGATCCCCCTGACTTTCGGTCTATGCTTGTGTATAATCCGACTGCCAATTTGGAGGTGGGTATGGCGTTCACTCCGAAAGTCGATGCTCAAGATGCTTTTATCGAAGAAGCCATGCGGCGCAGTTTCGAATGGAAGGTAAAATATTCTGACACCAAACAACTACATGTCATTTTGCAAAAATGTTGGAGAGGGTTGTTTGTGGCAACTGCGGGCTGCAAATATGAAGAGAAAAGGTGTCAGGGTCATTCGGACAGCAGAGAACAACCACAGCTGCTCCTCAAACATACTGTCCCAGGATCACCGGCAACTGAAAGCAAAGAAAGTGGCAAGAACCATTAAGCACTTGATCGAGGCACAACCAGATATTAAAATCAAAGCTATCATGGCCGAGGTGAAGGACCGACACTCATACATGAATCTAGTATAAGAAGGCGTGGCATGGGAAGCAGAAGGCCATGGCTGAGGTATATGGTGATTGGGACGACTCATATGCTTTACTCCCTAGATTAATAGCCGCAATGGAGGAGTCCAACCCTGGGACTGTTTTCGTGCCCTGTTACAACAATGTATACACTGAGGATCAAGTTTGAGTATAGAACGAGTTGATGTTTCATCGTCTGTTCTGGACCTTCAAGCCATGCATTGATGGTTTTGCTTTCTGCATGCCAGTTATCCAGGTATATTACGGTCTAAACAATGTTGTTGTGCTTCTTTTTTTTTTTTTACTAAGTAATATTTATAAATAATTTTAACAGGTTGATGGAACATTCCTTACTGGGAAGTATAAACGAACTATTCTCATTGCCACTGCGTTGATGGAAATTTAAAGTATTTCTCCCAAATGTTGAAGTAGAACTCATGCTTGCGGATCCAATTCTTTGATTTGTGTCGTAGGTCGATGGCATGAAGCTCTTTGAACCCTTGAGGTTGGGATTCTGGAATTGGTTGCTCCATCCGATACTGCCTCAATGCTCGATCCGGCAGGTGCCACTCCACCATGTGCCAACAGATCAGGGGCACCTTGCAAAACCACGTCTCTACATCTTAGGGGTGTCTAAGACGATGAATCTCGACGACTTGAGGTGGATATGGAATCCCATGTCACCTACACTCATTAATGATTTGGATTTAGTACAAATTGCAACCTAATCCATTTAAAATTTTTAAAATGACCAATTTGACATTTTTACCTGGTTTCACCAAGGCTTATCAAACTCAGCACGATAAAACAGTAAGGAATGCTCGAGCTGGTGGTCATTTGTATTTGCTCTGATCCACAGGGGGATTTTCTAGAAAGCGTAGCTCCTCATCTGGACCCCAAAAATTCCGTGGGTCTCGGGGAGCGAACATTGGAAGATGCTCCCATGCCCAGAGTTGGAGTATGAACATCACACCTCCAGCTTGTATCGCTCCCAACCTCGAGCAAGTGCACAGCTCTCGGTAGACCCCAACCAATATGGCCGACCCCCAACTCTTTCCCCCGATCTCGTCCCAATCACCGAGGAGCAACGACAACCACATGCCTTGAATCCACCGGTTTGCCTTGTCGGGGAACATAAATCCACCAACCAATCCAATGAGGTAGACGCGTGCATATCGCTCCACCTGATCCTCGGGGGTGTCTGGCCCTAAATTAACTTCCTGTTGGATGTGTTCAACAAGCCACGGGATTGAAACTTGCCCCGTATTGAGCGGTGGATGCCCAACCCCTTGAACGGACGTTGTGGTCGGCATGTTGAACCCCAAACGCTCGAGAATCAACGGCCCCCAACCACCTTCGGGTTTACTTGAGTTGCCGATGATGGCCTCTCCAGTAACCGGCAACCCAGTGAGGAGGGCAACATCTCTGAGGGTGATCGTCATTTCCCCCTCGGGGAAATGGAAGGTATGCACTTTGGGGCGCCATCGCTCTACCATTGTCGTAAGAAGATCGTTGTCGATATCAAGCCGCATGAAATGCCTCAGCATGTGCAATCCCGTCCTCTCTAGATCGGGCTCGAGATGAGGATGCCAATTAGGCAATCGACATGTCCCTCGATGACTGATGGGAATAAGTGATTCCTACAAAACAAAAGGGCAAAATACACTTCTATATCCATAACTTTCACGTTTGTGACAAATATATCCATAACTATCGAAATAAACAAAATACCCAGAAAAGCGCACTATCGTGTGACAAATCTATCCATTTCCGTTACAAAATTTAACGTCGTTAGTGACGCCGTCAGTTATGTTAGTTATACGCTGACTAGGACACCAGATCAGTGCACAAGTCATCAAAAAATCAACACCAAATGACACGGAAATTACACATCATATTTACTTACATATATTTAATTTTAAGAAATAAAAAAAAATCAATTTCGTAACTCTTTCCCTTCTGCCCCAACTTCTCCTCTCTGCCCCATCTTCTCCCCTCCGCCTACTCCCACCGCCAATGCAGACATCAAATCCGCCACCACTCATTGTCGACATCTATCCGCCACCACTGCCCACTCCCACCGCCGACATCAAATCCGCTACCACCTCCCACTCCCACACCCAAAATAAAATCCGACATCAATATGTTGAACTTGTTAGCCTTCTAAACACCCCTAATCGCGGCAGCTAGCGGCGGCGCGACGGAGTAGGTCACGACCTCACAATCTGAAACTCGCCAAAATTAGCGTTCTTCTCCCGAAGATGCTTACTCCTGCCGTCTCATTCCCTGTCGATGCTGGAGTTAAAGGTAGGGCAGGTGGAGATCGATTGAAGCAGACCACGACGGCGATGATGCGAGCGACAAGGGCATCAAAGACGGTGATGCGACTTCGAGGAATGATGGTGACGGCATCGAGGATCTGCTTCACACCCGCTAGCTCCATCGCCGCCAGCTCTCGCCCCTGCTTCCAGTCAACACCAATTCCAAAATCGCAGACAAAGCCCCCGCCGGCGATGGCGTCTACCCTAATCTGAACCCAAACTCCCTATTGACTCTAATGACGACGGATCTATTGGTGAAGACCCTGGATTCCTAAGATTGAGGAAGACGATTAATCGTGTTCCGATCGCATTTCCAATGATTTGGTTCTGGATCTGGATTTCAGATCCGGGAAGAAGACGACAAGGTAAGCTACACGCCGTTCAGGAAGAACCCGGTGGCTTCTAACTCTACTTGCACCAATCGTTGTCAAAGGAAGCACAAGAAGGTTTCGTCGGAGTATTTGGAGCTCGGTGATGGAAGGGTTCTGGGGCGAGAGGAAGACGAACAGGTTGGGCGATCTGCAGGGTTCCATTTATTATTTTTCAGTTTAAATTTTTAAAGTTAAATCCTAGCATTTTTTATTTTTTTATTTTTCTGTTAATCCAGATAGATGGGTGGAGACGGAACTTTGCCAACTCAGCTATTCCGTAAGTATAGTCATACTCTTAACCTGACACCATTAAATAGATGGACGGAATTGGGTATTTTGTGTATTTCGATAGTTATGGATATATTTGTCACAAACGTCAAAGTTGTGGATATAGAAGTGTATTTTGCCAAACAAAAAACAAAACAAAAAGTATAATGTTGTTAGAAAAAAAAAGACTTAAGCAAAAACTTATAACCTATTGAAATAATTTAAAAATTTATACGGTACAGACAGAGAGTCTACCAGATTATTGTCCCAAATTGCACGGGAGCGATGTTGTTCTTGCTCGTTTAAATATTTGCGATCTCTTGGGCCAGGATCGATATACAAACGAGGGTCGTATATCTCAGCACCCATCTATAAACAAATATGAAATGAAATTAGAATATTTCAATTCCATTTAAAAAAATATCAACAAAGGTGGAAAAAAAATTCGTACTCTCAGAGCCTCTTCGTCCATTATTTGCCGAAAAGCTGGAGAGAGTATCGACAAAACTTTAGAGCAAAGGATTTAAAACAAAATAAAAACTCTAGTAATTCTTTCTGATGTGGAAGATCGAACTTAGCCGCAACCACAGAGCATACTTAGAACGAGACTAGAGGGAAGTAATGGAGAGAGAAAGAAGTATAACAGTGGTGGTGTGGGTTGGAACGAGGGGGGATGGAGTGGTATTTATAGGGAGGACCATAGAGCATTCCCCTCTCTGGTCCACAACGGTGAAGCAAACCCGCGATTCTCGAAGGCGGTGAAGTGCGTGGATCGCTGACGTGGCTTGGTTTAAGGCGTCGGATCTGGGAGAAAAACCAGAATTCGCGCCTCACCGCATCTGACGGTGACGGTGAAGCGCGCGGACGACAAGGATCGATGACGTGGACAGCGCGGGCTATCACCGCTTTTGTGATTAACGGTGAAGTGCACGCGCGTGTCCAAGTCAGCTTTCCGCGCCACTTCCCCGTTTTGGACGACAACGGTGAAGGGTTCACCGTTTTTTTTAAAAAACGGTGATGATGTTCACTGTCTTGGTCTACAGCGGTGATGCCCAAACTGCTGTATTTTGGGAAATATTTTCATAAGTACTGTATTTTGGGAATTTTTTTTAATAACTGTTGTATTCTGGGATTTTTTCCACTATTCTGACCTTTGAGAAAGATTTAACCTGAAGGAACAAGAGTTACTAATGGCTCAATCCAAAGCATTTCAGTGTCCATCACCTAAAACTTTCCAAGTTGGATCTCGGTTAGTTGCTGAAGTTAGAACTCTGAGAGAGGATGGGGAATCTTTCCTAAGACAGAAATCTAGGGAGGTTTGGTTGAAAGAAGGAGACTCAAAATCAGGTTATTTTCATCGTTGATAATCGGCTTTAATATATCTGATTCTTGAACTTTATGTGACTATCCCGTGGTATGTTTTAGCCAATTGGTGCTATTTTAGGGCTCGCTAACCCGAGAATGGTTGAAAAACCATTACTGTCTAGTGCCATGAGTTTGATGTATTACAGGTGAAGAAAACACGAAAAAGAAGTTGCACCGGCAAACAATTCTCGAAGCTGGGCTCAAGGCCCAGCTGGATGGGGATTAATGAAATGGGCTAAAGCCCATTCGACTGGGCTGGCGGTGGACTTTTCTTTGGGAATTCCTTGGGCCAAGGAAATGGGACACGGACGGAACAACATGGGGCCAGCTTCTTTGGTGGTTTTGGACCGGGTTCTTGAAGAAGGCTGGGGACGGAACCAAATTCTATTTGGGCCAGGAAATTACATTGCTTGGAGGGAATTCTGCGGGAGAGGACACGGATTGAATTGGCCCAGGGGAGGAATCATTATTAGGGGGACACGAAAAGCTGAAAGAAAGAAAAAAGAGTCTCTGGACACGGAATTAAAGGGGAGAAAAAAAGCAGCGTAGCAAAGCTTGTCCCGCGCGGAAGCATCGAGCGGCGATTGGCAATCGACGATCGAGTTTTTCCCAGGCGGCTTGAGTTAAGTTCAACGAGAGCGATTATTTGGTTGGAGTTTCTGAACCAAATTAGTTGTTTATTGTTGATTTAGAACATGATGAACAAAACCCTATTGTTTTATCTTAATTTCGTAAGGAACTAAACCCCGATTTCTGGGGGAAGCACCATAGGATGTAGCTATGTCTTGATTTGATGGATTGATTCATGATTCTTTTCTTCCATTCTCTATTGCATGAAATTTCTTAATGCTTTGTGTTGACTGGCCACCAATACAATGAATCGTAGTTAATTAGGTTATAAGCGACAGTGAAACCCTAATAACTGAACATATTTCATGTGACATAGTAACTTATCGAAGCGACAGTGGATTAAATAAGGTGCTATGCGGTGTTAAATAGGATATCGGTCTTAAGGCTAAATAATTAAGTCATTGAGCTACGACAGTAGGATTTGATTTAATTGTTTAGTACGTAGTAATCCCGACAGGGATAGCTAACACAGTAGTGATATCCTGGCTGTAGAGATATGGATTAAATTGATTGGAATATGTGAATTAATCTGGATAGGATAGGTAGTGAATCCCGGTGTTTCTTCCAGAGCTTTCTCCCATTGATTTAAACCCGACAAGTTTACTTTGCTTAATTAGTTTAATTATTTTGCTTTTAGATAGTTTCATCTCATTAAACCATTTTCACCTATAGTTTGCTCAATAAAGTTGATAGAACTTAAGGTTGTACCAGTCCCTGAGAGACGATACCCGGACTTTCCGGTTTACTACAAGGTAGGATTAAGGCATACGCTTTTGCCCTATCAAGTTTTTGGCGCCGTTGCCGGGGACTGTCATACCTTATTTTTGTTGATTTTTGTGAGTGAAATTTTTTGATCTGGGTGTTAGTGTGCAGGTGAATTTTTCAGGTTTATCCTCATCGTGCATGCCAAGGAGGACGACTGGCAATTTACTGCCTCTAGATCCCGAGATCGAGAGGACCTGCCGACAGAACAGGAAGTAGGTCAAGTTAGGGAAGCAGCCAACCACAACTCCTAGGCCTTCCCTAACCCAGAATCGTCAACCGAGAAGGCAGGTTTCACCACCTGTCATCCCTACACCACCGACACCGCCACCGCGCATCATCGAGCCTGTCATCATGGCAGAACAGGATCGTTCAATCAGGGCTCGCCTGAATCGAAGGACTGGGGCCCGAGCCTCATGTGTTGTCTTTCAGGCTGGGGATGCAAACATGGATATTACCCCAGCATTTATCAACATGATCACCAATGGGTATACCTTCTCCGGGGCAAGCACTGAGGATCCTCATGAACATCTTCGCCGGTTCGCAAGCAGTTGTGATACGATGAAGAGCCCGACTGTGTCTGATGATGCAATCCGTCTTCGGATGTTCTCCTTTTCTCTGCTAGGGAATGCATCACACTGGTTCCAAAACTTAACACCCCGTTCCATCACAACATGGGGTCAGCTTGAGAAGACCTTTTTGGATAAGTACTTTCCTCCTGCCAAGGCAATGAAGAGGCAAGAGGAAATTGTCACTTTTAAACAAGCTGGAGACGAAAGTCTGACCGAGGCATGGGAGCGCTACAAGGAGCTTTTAATGAGATGCCCGAGC